ATTTACTAGACTTAAAATATTAATTAATAATCATTTGCAATTAACCTAAGGCAATATTGGACTTAATGGATTAAGTCCTTAATGGGTTAAGTAGGAACACTTAAACCCTAATCATCATTTCATGTGAAAACCCTAATTTCACTTGGGCCTTGAGTTGGGCCTTTCTTTTGGGCTTTGGTGAATGGGTTATGGATGGGCCATCCAAGAACAAGCATATGAATTAGAATATTTAGATAGACTTTTGGATAAGGCCCACTGGAAAGGCTTGGGCCCAATTTGGAAAATTGGGCCATGAGTGGGCCATAATTGGGCCTTGATGATTATGAGATATTGGACCATTGGAATACCAAGAGTTTGGACTAGAATAAATGGATGGGCCTTAAGGTAAGACCATGTAGAGGTGTGAGCCCAATTTGGAAAATTGGGCCATATGTTGGGCTTTGGCCCATTACTTGACTTTTGGGCCTTGGAGTGTGAGTTGGGCCTTAGAATTGAATCAAGATAGGTTGGGGGTAAAGTATTCTTTTACCCCAAGCATGGACTTGTGGTTATGTATTGGAACCCAATTATTAATTGGGTTTCGTTTTGATGTTGACAGTTCGGGAATCTGTCAACCAGCAGCTGGAGTTTTATCCGCGGGACTTCAGCAGTGCCAGGTGAGTTCTCCTCACTATATCAACAGGGTCTAAGGCACCAATGCCGGCCCTTATCGGATTTGTATCCGGGTTTATTACATGATATGCTTATTGATTTGCATCCTGGTAGTTAGGATGTTGATATGCTTAGTGACCTGGTAGGTCGATATCCTAGTTATAGGATGATTGCTATGTTAGAGATCGGTTAGATCGGTATCCTGGTTATAAGACGGTTGCTATGTTATTGATCAGTTAGATCGGTATCCTGGTTATAGGATGGCTGCCATGATTAGTGATCTGTTAGATCTGTATGACTATCTGTACTTGCATGCTAGTGTATGATATTTATGTGCACATGATTGTTGGTTTCGGTTGAGGCAGGTCCTGCGTTGTGCTATAGGCCAAGATACCCAGGGCGGACCGGATAGACTGCAGACCCAGGAGGGCATACTAGTCAGGCCGAAGGCCCGACGAGCTGTCCGGATAGGCCGAAGGCCCTGAGAGGCGGTCCAATGAGACTGATGGCTCATTATGCATGTTGTGTTTGTTTATATGATATGATTATGATCGTATGGCGTTGGTATTTTGGGGGTAATTCACTAAGCCTTCGAGCTTACATTTATCGATTATTGTTTTAGGTACTTCTGATGATCACGGGAAGGCGAATGCGTTATCGTGCACCTCCTTATGTTTTTAATGATTTGATTTTGGGAAACTCTAACATTAAACCATTTTGAAAACATGTTTGTAATAATTATTGGTTTTTGAATCACTTAAAAAGTTTTAAATTGACTTTAATTTTATGGATGTTACATTAATAGAATCGGAAACCGGACCGGTATATAGAAATTGGTTCTGATTTAGTTTCGGGTATGAGGTTGAGTAAAATAGGTCTAAAACCAGAAAACCCAAAAATATCAAAGTGGATAGGGTGGAAATGCGTAATATAGGTCTAGAAATGGAATACCCAAAAATCCGAGAGAACCCGAATTTTTTGGTACATGCTTAGTAGGTTAATATCCTTATTGGTTTGATATCTTTATTTAATAACAAGTCAAAATACATCTTCTTCGTGGAATGGAGTAATAATAGACTATCAAATTCAACCTTTTTATTGGTTTGAACTTTGAAAATTTCTAGATTTAATATCCAGACTTCAAACGACTGTAATTCATTGAATATGAAACCAAAAATGACGACATTAGAGTGTAAATCACATACAAACTCTAAGTTACATGTTGTAAAAAACCGCATATCAATCCGAATTTAAACAAACAATATATGCATGTCTTAAATTTTTTACAGAATATAAAATACAAAAACAAATACCTACAAAGCTCAAATTTTCTAACATTGATATCCCGATTTCGGAGGACTGTAAGTTCTTGAATATGAAACTAAAAATGACAGAATTATAGTATGAAATCACATACAAACTATAAACTACGTTCTGGAAAAAACTGCATGTCAATCCGACTTCAAACAATGAGATATGCACGTTTTAAAATTTTCATAGAATACAAAATACAAAAAAAAAAAAAAAAAAAAAAAAAAACTAAAATTTCCAACTTTGATATCTCGAATTTTGTGGGGGGTGGGGGGGTGTGTGTGGGTTGGGGGGGGATGATTACAATCATTGAATAGGAAACCAAAAACTACAAAATTATAGAAAAAAAATCATGTACAAACTCTGAAAAAAATACCGCATGCTAATCTGACTTCAAACGATAGAGATTTTCATGTTTTATTTTTTCACAAAAACCAGTTCCGATTCTTAAACTTGGTTCACCCGGACCCGATGGATCCAAACTCAGATAAAAGAATTCCATAAACCTGAAACCCAAACCAATTGTATATATTCCGGTTCTAACGGTTCTGGTTTTTCTGTTTTCCCGTTTATATCCCATCCCTAGTGATAGATGTAAGGTCAATTTTTAATTAATATTTGTTAGAGAAAAAATGTATAAAATAGATGAAAAGTTATATAGATGTCATTTTTTTTAAGTGAAATCATATGGACCATTTATTTAAAAAAAATAGTAAATTACATCATATGTCCCTCATTCATGTATCAAAACGCACGTTTAACCCCTATTTTCAAAAATTAACTTGGACCATTCTTGGTTTGGTTAAAAGTTGCACATGTCATCCCTCGTTAATTTAAATTTGCATGTTGCATCATTTCCAAGACATAAAATGACTATTATGCCATTATTATTATTATTATTATTATTATTATTATTATTATTATTATTATTATTATTATTTATTTATTATAAAAAAACAAAAAAAAACCACCTCACCCACCTTATTCTAACCCTTCCCTTTAAACTGTCTTTTCACTAAGCCACCAACAAACCACCACCAGAAAAGACATTATCTCATCGAAAAATAGAGTCATCGGACCACCGCCCACTACTATTGACAGACCACAACCCTATACTCTCTCTTTCTCTCTCTTTCTTTCTCTATCTCTCTCTCTCTTATCTTTCTTCTTTGATCTGAATACTCTCTCTCTCTCTCTCGCTCCTCCTATTTCTTCTCCAATCGACAAACTATAACCGTCTTAGATTGCCTCCTGTGATATGGACTTCCAGTGATATAAAGTCTTCGATCTTCGCTATCACCCGTGCGATGACACTGATCTTCATCGGCTAGGGTTTCATCACATGGGTGCCGCCATCGGTGATGACTAGCGTTTCGACAGATGTCATCGATCTCCATCGGTGTGGGTTTCGAAAAATGTCCAGATCGATCTCAGCCTACATCGTGGCTGAGATATGGAGACCATCGAGCTCTACAATCAGAATCGAAGCCAACATAAAGGTGATGGCTAGATCGATCTCAGGTGTATGTTTTTCTACCCCCACCTTTCGCCCCTCTATCTCTCAATCACATATTCCTCTTCACCCTTCTTCTTTCTTTTGAGTTACAAGTCTGATTAGGTAAAGACCAGTAGATATGGTAGGGTATGTGAAGGTCCCAATGGTAGTTTTTGATGGAGATTGGTGGTTGTGAATGGCGATAAGGATGGTCTTCTGTGAAATTGGTGGTCGTTTGTGTGATGATGGTTTTGGCTATTGAATTTGGTTTAGGGTTGTGGAGAAGGTGCTAAATAGTGAAAATTTTAAGGTATGGAAGGTGAAGAAGAAGGCATGTGCAAGGTTTTCAGATTATGGTTTGTTTGGAGGATTTGTTGACAGTGATAGGTGGTGATGGTGCTGAAAGAGCTGGAGATGATAAGTGGTAGTGGGTAATCTTGAGAATCTTGTTGCAGGAGCTGGGGAAATGAAAAGGGGAGGGGTGAGGATATTTGTTTTGCTTTTATTAATTTAAAACTGATAAAGAAAAAAAAAGAAAAAAAATGAAGGTAAAATAATCATTTCATGTCAACAGGGACTAAACATGTAAGAAAAAACAAACTCATAAACAAGTTAATTTTTAAAAATAACGAGGAAACATGTTTTTTTGACCTATGTACAGATAGGGATGTGCTTCGGGTCGGAACCGACCCGAACCTGAATAACCTAAAACCCAAATTGGATGAAAAATGGTAACCGAAACCCGAACCGATTATACTAATACGGGACCGGTTCGGTTTGGGTAATACATGTTTCGGTTCGGTTATTAACCCGAAAAGACCGAAATAATCGATATAAACATTTACACATTGTTTTTGAACCGAATAACCTAAATAAACCGAAATAACTCGAATAACCCAAATAAACCGAAATAACCCGAATAACCCAAATAAGGAAATTCTATATTTAATTCAAGGGAAAAAAATATTAATTTAATATTTTTTTCTTGAACATGATATAGAATTTCTTTATTTGGGTTATTCGGGTCATTTCAGTTTATTTAGGTTATTTAGATCATTTCGGTTTATTTAGGCTATTCGGTTCAAGTGACTATTCACTTTCCGGGTCGGTCTTTTTGGCCCACTTAAACATTTATTCGGGTAATCCAGACCGAATAACCCGAAACCCGAATTGGACAAAAATAGATACCCGAGAACCGATCCAAACAACTTATTCGGTCCTAATTCGGATCGGTCTGGTCCGGGTTTCGGTTTCAGTTCAGGTATTCGGTCCAAACACACATCTCTACGTAAGGACGAATAATATAATTTACCAAAAAAAATAATAATAAAGACGGACCGCATGACTAAACCTGAGGAGCCAATAGTGTAATTTTGTAGAATAGAATAAATGAAGATTTATACAACAAAAATAATACAAATTCTCATTCAAGTACCAATCAATGAAATACATATAAATACTGATATCAAAAGAATGGCTTGCTTTTCATCAATTCAAATCGATTCTCCGTAGCTTCATTCAAATATCCCATTTTTGCTTTATCTTACAACACCACCGCAAATCCAACGGAAACAACCACCATCATCACGCACCTCCACACGCTCCACCCTATAATCCGGTCAGAAGAGGAAGGCGATGATGAACTCGCAGCCTTTCCCTTTCCTTTCGCACCATCTGCTTCTGGAGCATCAGCAACCGGAGCAATATCTGGCACCGGTGCCGGAGCAGGTGCTGGAGGAGGAATATCAGTTCCGAAAATGGCTTCAGGAAGGAGCACCCAGTCCACCTGGTAAATGGCAACAGGATCCGTCGAATGCACACTGCTGCTCACTTTTGTGTTAGTCCAACCGGATCCAATACGAACGGTGCCGGAGGTATCTGTGAAGTTCAGCGTGTACTGACCTCCGGCGAGCGTGTTAACAGGGCCGGCGCCGCTAAGATTCTTGAAGTCTGAAAGCGAGTAGTAATGTGGCAGCGCGTGGAAAAGACAGAGCTGTTTGAGTTGGTCGGCGGTGAGGTTTGAGAGGGAGGGTTTTTTCAGGGAAGTAAATGCTTTGTCTTTGGGTACAAACAGAGTGATTCCTTCTTCTGTGTTGTTGGCTTGATTTTGTAGGGTTTCGATGACTTTGGTTGATTCAAGGTACTTAAGGAAGGTAGAGAAAGGGCCGGCGACGCTCAGGAGCTCGGTGAGGTTAACGTAGTCGGGTGCTGGTGCCGGGGCCGGAGTTGGGGTCAAGATAATCGGCGGCGACTCCGCGGCTAATGTTGCTGCTTGTGCATATGCAAACAGGAGTGTGGTAAAACACATGAAAATCTTGATCGAATCCATGTTCTTCAAGACCTCAATCAACACCAATCCTGCAAACAGCAAAACCAATTCGACAAATTGATCATGGAAAGAAACGGTGTTTGACTTTTTCAAGTCAATCGAGTTGCTTCTTGAGTTGAGAATTTATAAAAATTGTTTCAATTTTCTCTAATAGCAGAATGATAATGAACTAATTTACATAACAGGAATCAAAATGGAAAAATTTGTAGCTAATAATTCCTACGCTAGAAGATCTTATGACAGAATTTAATGGTTTTGACTTTCGAAAATTGGACTTCACTTGAGCAAGTTGTATCATATGTTTGTGAAGTTACAAAATTACCCTCTAATTAAAACAGAGTATACCAAGAAATGAGGAGACACGATCGGAAGAAACAGGTTCAAAATTTGTTCGTAAGATCAAATCTTTCCTTTTCTGGTGATTTTCAAATTCAAGAAAACAGATCTACTACCTAAAACGAACAAACTAGTTAAGAGTTTAAGATCGAAATTCTTGAATCGATATGAAGCCAAAGATCCAACATCAGAGATCAAAGATCCCATCTCCAATTATTAAAAAAAACCAACAATTTGATTTGCATTTCAAGATCAAAGCTTCGTTTATCAGCAACAAACTACTGAAATAATCAAAGAAAACTTGCAAGACAGAGAGTAGCTACACTCCACATTCAACAATGTGCTTCATAAAGATAACATACATATACATACACACATACAGATGCAGATCTAGATCTATTCATGAAGAAAAAGCAAAAATCGGTAATAAAAAGCAAGACCCACTTCATTTATACAAACAATAACACAATGCAATCATCAAATCTGATACGATTATTGAATTGCGTGAATCGATTGAGAGGAAAAAGACTGACCGTTGGCAGGAAATACTCAGGGAGAGAAGGGGAGAGTAAAGGTGAAGTAAGATGATAATGCACTGGAGAGTGGAATGTATGAGAGAGTATAAATAAGAGGGTTTTCTTAATAAAATTACCATTTATTGAGTGGCATTTGGTGCAAGTCAAGAGAACAAGCAAAAGTTTGTGAAGTCTACACAAATTTAAAAACAAAAAAAAGGTTTGGTGTCACATTCCTATAATCTTATATGACATTTATGAGAAACAAACAATTAAATTTTAATCTGTGGGGAATTACAGAGTTCATAGAAAGATTTAACACGTCGGATAATAGACGATCTATGACGATAATACAAATTCTTTTAGTTAAGATTCCGTTTTCAATATTTTTGATTCTTTGTAAAATTGTTAGTGTTTTTATAAATCATGTGAATTAGTGAATTGCGTCAATCCTGTAGATTTTTGATATAATCATGGTTTTCTTTTATAGCATGTGTTATACATAATGAGACATTGCTTCTGTTTTACATACTAATTCTCTATGTTTAACGAAAAAGTAATAATATAAGAGGCAAATATCAACCGACAAATGAAGTACATAAGTTAATGTTTCTTCATTTTGTCTTTTAGAAATACGATTCCTCCTTAATAATGATATTAGTTTTGACGTGTAATTATTGTAGTGTTTCAATATTGAAGGTGGGCTTTCTCAATCAAAGAACTCTCTCAACTAATTCACCTATTTAAAATCAAATAAAACAAATAGTGTTTGAAATGTCCGATCTTGCACTCTACCCTACCACCGTCACAAAATCTTCAAATGAGGTGGATTTTTTTTTTTCTTTTTTGATTTTTCTTCGAGTGAGGGGGTGTTGTTGGGATTAAGATGAGTCCTCCTATATTGGCCAAATTATAATTTTCATATGTAGGCTTGGTTGGTTACATTTTTTTAAGAAAAGGGACAAAAGCCTTATTGACGAGACTTCTACAAAAAATAGCCCCAAAATTTCCATTTTTTTTCAAAATAACCATATATTTCATAACGAAGTCTACAAAATTGGCATGTCGTTTGTGCCATAAGGTTTAGGGTTAATGACCTATAACGGTAACGAACTTTGGTCTTTGTCCACATTTAGGTAATCATGTTTTTTTCGTTCACATTTGCTCATTGAACTTGTTTGACCTGTTCAAAATAGGGTAATATGACTGGTAATTAGCGGTAACATTACCCTTTATGAACAGGTCAAACAAGTTTACTGGTCAAATGTGTACGAAAAAAACATGGTTACCTAAATATGGATAAAAACCAAAGTTCCTTACCCATTTTGGTAATATTGGGTTCTTTATGTTAAGTGCAAGTAATCATAAGATCCATTGATGTGAAATGAAATTGGGTTGTTCGGTCTTGTGTATGAGGAGATGGTTAAGTCTTGGGCCAACCCAGTTTAGGTCCAGCTAGTTAGGGGTTAGCTTATATACGCTTAAGGGACTAGGTTGTATGTGTTTTAACGACCGAGCAACACAGTCTAGCCCATGACTAGCCGGGACTAAACTGGGTTAAACCAAGCCTAACCTAATTGTTCATTGACTGTCGGAGCCTGATCCCAGGGCACACAGTCCCTAAGACGATTCTTGTCCAGTATTACCAAAACGGGTAAGAAACTTTGGTTTTTGTCCGTATTTAGGTAACCATGTTTTTTTCGTACACATTTGACCAATAAACTTGTTTGATCTGTTTATAATAGGGTAATATTACTGTAATTATCGGTCATATTACCCTATTTTGAACAGGTCAAACAGGTTTAATGGTCAAATGTGAACGAAAAAAACATGGTTACCTAAATGTGAACAAAGACCAAAGTTCGTTACCTTTCTAAGTCATTAGCCCTAAGGTTTAGTAGTGGAGCTGCTATTAAATTTTGGATCTTATTGGGAAATTACCTAGTTTGAAAATCGTTTGTCGTTTCGTGTTAGTAGGTTTCAAAATAATACTGCAAAATAATCCTTGCGAAATTGATTTTTTTTTTTACAAAATAAATGTAAATGTAATCTTCACAATGATATCCAAGCCTTCAAACAAATATTCTTACCCAAAATGAGTGCATCTGCCAAGTTATTTGTAGGTATTTGTATTGGAGTGTTGTGACACATAATCAACATCATTAATTAGGACCAAATATGATAAATTAGGGTTTAGATTTTCCCTCGTATGTTAACATTTTTTGGTTGTTTGATTTGGTGAAAATAAAGTTATGTTTAGAAGAAGATAACAATATCTGTTTATATTTCTAGCATCCATGGCTTGAAATATGTCATAACCATAATTAATAAAAGTGATGTCAAGCACTTACTAAATGTTGTTCATGTTGTGTGTAAAAAGGTTATATATATGTATCTTGTAGATGATATCCATGTACATAGATATGGTGCAAGGAATCAATCGGATGATGGTGAAAACTAATTTGGTGGAAATTTATCAGGTGTAGGAAGCAACAATCAAAGAGATATTTTCATTTCATAGGATGTCTCATGATGTATTATATGAAACACCAGGAATAGGTATTCATATGTCTCTGTAACATCCCGGAATTCAGGTGCGTCTCTTAAACCCTTCTTCTTTTCCAAGTTGTCAAGTTTAACCCTTAAAGGAAATATTAAGGCAAATGAGTACGCTGGGCGTACTGAAGAGTACGTTGCGCGTACTCATGCGCTTAAGTTGGACGTGGACTCGCCTAGGTACGCTGGGCGTAGCTGGCCCAGATGCAAACCCTAAATGACACTTGTGCACTATAAAGGAATGATAAGACCCTTACCCCAGCCACCATACTTCAGTGAGTGAAACCCAAAGAGAGCAAAAACCCGTCATAAGCTTGTGTGTGTGTGTGATCTTAAGCTTCAAAGTGCCATTTCAAGGTGGTGAAAGAGAAGAGGAGGCCATTTTAGGAGCTAGAAGTTGGTGGACAAGAGTAGATCCGAGTTCTACAGAGGTTGGAGCTTCTTTCTGAGGTAAAAAAGCTCAAAACTTTCCTTGTCATTTTTGATTTGTGCTTCTTGGACCAATTTCTAGGGTTTTTGGTCCCAAGGTGGAGACTTTATGAGCAAATGGTCTCCATTGGCCTAGATCTGCCATATTTCAGGGTAATATGAGTTGTATGTTCATAAAAATCCAATCTTGGACGTGAATATTGAGCCATGCATGAGATCTAGACTTTATGAGGAAGAAGGAAAGGTGTTAGAGTGATTAGGGACCTTTACAGCCATGCAAAGGCTTAAAGGTCTCGACTTTATGGATTAAGTGATCTTAGAGAAGTCAGATCTAGAGTTTGAGTTTATGTCTTAACCGTTTAAGACCAAAATCCAAGAAAGGCTAAAACTGAGACTTACAATGGGCGTAACTCTCAGAACGCGCAGCGTAAGGGTTTGAGACCCCGATTCTGGATCGTCGGAGTACGCCCCCGCGTACAAGAGCTGGTACGCGCCGCGTACTACCCCCTGCTGACTTTCGTTGACTTTTAGGGTTTTGGTCAACATTTGGACTTTTGGGTCAGGGAGGGGTAAAATGGTCTTTTACCCATCTGTGGGATTGTAGGAAGGGATGTAATCTAGCCTTTGAGAGCCATTATTTATTCGAGAGTACTGTTTATGTGTTTAGGCGGAGGCTAGATCAGTGTTTTCGTGTGCGAGATTATCCGAGATACCCTAGGTGAGTCTTCTCACTATACATTACCTAGAGTGGTATTTATGTGTAGACCGGAGGGTCTTGTATGCTATGTGTATATATATATGAGATTCTGTGCATTGTGTTATATGTATGCTATGTGTTGAACAGACCGGGCCGGAGGGCCCAACGATATAGACCGAGCCGGAGGGCCCAACGATATAGACCGGACCGAAGGGTCCAACGACACAGACTGGACCGAAGGGTCCGACGAGCTATGACCGGACCAGAGGGTCCAACGAGCTACGGGACTGGAGGGTCCCGCTGAGACACATCGACCGGAGGGTCGTACTGTAGCCTCGAGTGGCGTATGTGTTGTATATGGTATTTTGGGGAACTCACTAAGCATTTATGCTTACTGTGTTGTGTGTTATGTGTTTCAGGTACCAGTGAGGATCGCGGGAAGGCGCCGGCATGATCAGTACACACTC